TAAATGATAGTTCAATACCCGTAAGGATTTGTGTTATATATTTGTTGTCATATGTACTGTACATTAGTATTTGTCGATTGTTATTGATTAAGTAAACTATATTTCTAATTAATGAATACATATAATTAATATATTGTACACAATGTAGATTTTATTAAAATAGTTGTCTTATTTCTTGATTAATTTTATTGAAGACAGGTAAATTCATCTTAAAACTCTTGAGATTCATTTAATTGGGCAACACTTGTTTTAAGGCAATGATGTTTTCATTCTCTAAATATTTAGTAATCGTTTAATACGAGAAACGATTCAAATGCTAAATACTTATAACTAATTTGTGATTAAAATAAATATAAGAACATCTCTTTGAATATAAAGATAAAATTCTAATGAATTACTAATTATCCGGCTATATTTCAATAATGATGAGACTATTTCTCAGAATTTATAATTAAAATGAACAAATGAATGAAAGATAAATGAAGACTTTTGTGAAATAATGTCATATAAAATATTTCGGAACTAAATTTATTTTTTGGATGACTTTTATTTTGAAAATAAGTACAACTTTTAGCTTTTGAACTATACTTTATAGACGATTCTTGTCTGAATGATGGCAAGAGATTTCCGATTCGTGTCATATCCGGAATCCTTTGCTTTCAATTCCCTTCACATGATTGACCCAATAATCGGTTGACTTAGGATTTTGAGTTTAGATTAAACTTAAACTTAAATTATTAAACTTAAATNTATCCGGAATCCTTTGCTTTCAATTCCCTTCACATGATTGACCCAATAATCGGTTGACTTAGGATTTTGAGTTTAGATTAAACTTAAACTTAAATTATTAAACTTAAATATTCTTAAATATTTAAATCACTCTTACAACTAACAAACAAAAATAAATATTAAATTACGTGTTTAAAAACAATTATCATTTACATATATGAATAAAATACACATACAGGTTTTAGCTACCTTGGGTATACTGTAAATATAAATTGTGTTTTGATAAATTGAAATGAAATATTGTGTACAATAGTGTATGTAATGTATAAAATGAGTTTAGGCTCGCGTTTCCCTCGCGTTGTTCGTAGAGACGGAACCTCTCTTCATAAGTATTGAAGTGATATTACAATTGAAATTATTGGACATTTGTATCAAATCTATATAAATATTTTAATATTATTAATAATCATGAATTGAACAATTTGTACAATTTGTACCATATCTTGTGGTCGGACTCCTGGTGTTGTTAGTGCAGTAGCCGTTCCTCTGTTGCGACGAGTATTGATTCACGTCCTTCTTCGCGCAGCAAAACAAGTATTGTTTGAAATAATTTCGAAACCTTTCATAGAAATAAGTTTTTTAATTATTTCATCACATGTTATATAAGCTATTATGTAATATATGGTCTAAACGTTTAATTGATAGAAAAACGATTAAGAGATGAGTTTCTGTTGGAGTATCTGAACTGATTTTTTTGGGTATCAAAAATGAAATTATATCTAATATAAAATTATATAACTCATAAAGATATCAAATATCTGATGAAATAAATGTAACGAAATGCCAGAGAGAGTGCAACTCATAGACGTTTCATATATTTAGAGATGGCCACCGACTAAATATTATTACTTGTAATTTAGATGTCTATCTCCTCCAAAAAATATTAATATTAATGTTTCAAATAATAATTTATCTCAATTTTCTATGAAACCAATTTCGTTTT